TAGTTTTCGCATAATTCCCGCTTTGGTATGTTCAATGCAAAGAACATGCGAAATCTAAGTACCTGCAAGAACGGAGCAGTGAAGGAAGCACATAAACTCTACAAGAGCGGTCAAAGAACGTCAACACAGAGAAAAAAAAGAAAAAAGTTTTTAAAATCAGCATTATGAAGTTAAAACTTCAAAAATAAAGCTTTTCATGTAAATCTCGAGAGCACGCTGTTTACCGAGCGTAAACAGAGTGCAAGTCAAATGCTCCATTCAAATCACAAAATACTTAGTTCTTTCACTGCTCTTAGCTTCCCTTATGGTTCACACACCCTAATATTGAATATCATTAGTTTTCTGTTTAATACAGTCGTGCCTAATATAGCCATCTTGACTGTTCCTTTCTGGCAGACAGTCAGACACCTAGAGAAACTTGCTCCTACGCCAAAGCGAAAGTAGATAAGTGAAGCTGATCACGATACAAGATTTTCAATTCAAAAGGAATAGTTGAATCTGTCAAGTTAGAAACAGCAAGCTACGCACGATACAGAGAGAGGATAATACTGTAGTGATCTTGAGGGATGTACTGGTGTGAGCAACATGGAAACATATAATAATCAGTTCTTGATGAGACGTGTAAGCTCTGGGAAGCTCCGAATCGGATCATATGCAAATTGCGTGATGGATATACAAAAAAAATAATTTATACAAAAGTCTTCGGATAAAAAAATCCGAAATAACAACTAGGCATCAAAGAGTTCTATACATAGAGACATGTCTAAGAGTAGAAACATCGAAGTTGTGAGTCGTCAACCATAAAGAGATTGATGACGCACAAGATGCATTTATTACTTTTTAAGATCTTCATTGGATGAAACTATAGCTATGAAAAGTTAGCAGAATTATTAAAGTGTTAAAACTGTTCACCAAAACAAGAAAAAAACAAACGGTGAGATAAAAATATTCTTCTAAAGGTAAATCTCTTCTACTCTGTCTGAATTAACAAGACACCGGCTCTCCATGAAGTGAACTGAGTTTCATTTGGGGCAAATTGTTTTTGATAGCGGTGTAATCCCTAATGCTGCTTTGGTGATACTTTTTCAGATGAACAGCGAAACGTGCACGTCCTTTGAATGACATATTACAAGATTCACATTGGAATGGTGTGAGATCTGAAAGGCGGACAAAAATAATTATCACAAAGCAAAGACAAGCTTACCAAGATGGATATTCATATGGTCTTCAGCTAGACAAGGAGCTCTGAACATTTTCGAACAACCTGGATATTTGCATTCATACATCTTAACAGTCCTCTTCTCTTTTCCGTCGTAATGAATCTAAAAGCAAGACGAGCATATAGCGTTGAATTCTTCGAACTATACTCGGTTCAGATGCTTCGTCAAATATCTCCTCCTTGAGAACTTTTTCCCACAAGCACAACATATGTATTCACCTATGAAAATAGACTGCTGGTTTGTTCAAAATTGAAATATACCTAGAGCACTACGGATGAACGTAGACTCGCCTTCACCTGTCCCAGCCAGAATATCTATAGTTTTCTTAAAAATAGCATCTAGATCCGAATCGGAATCTTCATTCTCCGAACAGATCGATTCAGAAACATCATGTCCATTCAAAACTGACGAACAGTTCGAAACACTAGAGCCAGTGACATTTGTCCTAGACTCATCCTCAAAATTATGTTCAGGATGTGCATGTTTCAAATGTTCTTCCAAATTTGAAGTATACAACTTTCGAGAGCAACCTTCAATGGGACAATCAAATCCTATGTGGCTTCTGAAGAGTTGACACTATCATAAGATCATAAGTGAACACAAATTACTTTTCCACATGAAGATCCATCTCGTCCTGAGCTGCACACTTGAAATCACAGTGAGCACATGGAACTTCAACTGAAATCTTCTTTCTCAGTAACTCAGTTTCATTGCTTATATCAGAATGGACTTTTTTCAAGTGAGCTCTGAAAGTAAGAGATAGAGACGTACTTCATTTTAACCTACTTCAAAGAATTTTTGGCTACAATTGCCGAACAGCCTACCACTGTGCATGGCACTCCATTCACATGCTGAGCTGTGAAGTGCTTTCTTACAGTTGACAAAACCTGAACAAAGACTGGAATGAAAAGAAAAATGAGTTAAAACTAACTGAACTACTATAATCACACTTCGAGCATTGATGAAGCTTTGGATGCTTTTCTTTATTGTGTGCTCTCAACAATTTATGACAATCGAACAGCTCTTCACAGAACTCACATTTGAATCTTTCTGAAATATGGTATCATGAAAATTACCTACTTCAATCACATACGTTTCTCGTGTGTTTTGAGATGTCTGTTAAGAACATTGGGAAACAAGAAATGCATATCGCAACTCGGACATCTGCAAGTGAAACATCTTCGAGGAGGAAAGGAAGACTTAACCATACTTATACTTCTTCTCATTAGTCTCTCTTCTGAGTTTCGCATTTTGTCTTCTTTTTTCAAGCTGCTCGGCAGTGAAAACTTGTTTGGGGTATTTCCTTTTGAAGGGGTTCACACCTTTAAATTTTGAATTATATTAAACAATAACAAAACTAGGTTTTACTTTCCGTATCCTCCATCGGAAACGAGCTACGTACATTAAGGTCTGGAAAATGAGAAACTACTCGAACAGATTATTACAGAAGAAGATATGAATGGCTGAGAAACCAAGCAACATTGAAGAAAAGAAACACTTGAATGTAAGTTTATCATCATCACGTGATATTCACGTGATGTAAGTCGTGCCTGGATTACTGCTATTTTTGGAAGAATGATAAACCTTAACGTTCTCAAAACAAGAATCGTCTAGAGCTGAACAAGTAACAAAGATAAAAACTATATTGAAT